TTTTGTGGAAGGATATTCACCCTTCAAGGTTTCAAATTCCGCTTTCACATGTCGATGCGTGAAATTTTCAATTATTTTTTAACGTTTTAACTATTTTTGCACAGACCAAAGTGCAAAGCAGTGAAAGTCATTAACAGACGATCGTTCGGTGGACAGATTGCACAGTACCCATGTTCACATCAGCTATTCTGGTGCGCGCTGCCATTTATTTAGCTTCACACTGTGATTGTGCATTTTTAAACTGATTTTCTTTTTCATCCACTTTGCGGAATTTTGCGTTTCTCTGACCTGATTTTTCTGCATTTTTGGTCTTTTCGATATCTTTTTGCTTATTTGAATAATTTTCTCACCGCAGTGAGTGCTGTAGAATCACGCAAAATAGTGTTGTTATTCACACTCTTTTGCAACTATTGCAAAGCTTAATGCATTCTTTCCGCAAATTTCAGGGTTACTTACCCCGTCAGCCGCTATATTCGTGTCGCGATTGCTCCAAATCCACCGGTCCTGCAGCACTATGTTATGGATGCGGTGTGCGTTGCCACGAGGGCCATGAGCTTGTTGAGTTGTACACGAAACGCAACGTTTGCTGTGACTGTGGAAATGCGAAGTTCAAAAATCCTTGCAAACTTTATGAAGTAAACTTGGAATTTTAACATATTTCTCTGAGCGCACAATCTTTCTTTTTTTTTTTTTTTTTGATAGTTCAGTATTTTTTTAAAGCTCACTGCTAAGATTTCACTGTTTTTCGTCAAAAAAAGCTTTATTTCATTATCGAATTCCTAATTCAACAGTATTTGTAAATACATAGGGCTGACGGTTGTCCGCTTTGGGAACTTGATGTTGCCGCTGCTGCATTATCTTATGCTCGGCCTGCGAAGATCTCGACATTCACTGGGATTTGCATGCTTTTTCTTTTCTTTGTTTGGGAGAAAAAGGGCGAACGTTCCGGAAATAGCTCCTTTCAATGGATGTACTTCGAAAAAACACCCAGGCTGGAACGCACCAGGCGGGCCGGTGCGATTATGCGTTTTTGCACTTTTCGTGCCGTAGCAGGATGGCAAGGAATTAAAGTAGCTAACCCTGTGAAATACTGGCCCTCGAAGTTCGGAAAGTTAATTGTGCACCTATGTGGTATGTCAGTTGTAGGTGTCGACTTCAGCGACCCGACAAATGCAAAGTTGCTGGTCCACAAAAAAGGGCCACACTAAAAGAGTCAAGTTTAAAATCTTTTAGTCGCACATGAGCAGGAAACATTCCCTTAAAATTAAAGCCTT